ACTTCATGCCCTTTAGTTCTTGCTCTCACTTCCACCGACAAAATTCAATTGGCCAGCATATCTAAACGCACTGAATTCGGATGGCAAAACTGCTCTTCACATTGCTTGTCGTCACGATCGTCTTCTGGCCTGCGTATCGAGCCCTGGCGTCACGAACAACTCTGGAGGCACACTCAGTAATAATATTGGCAATACCTCAAGCAACAGCAATGCTGTATTCAGCCCCACTACTAGTGTGAGCTGCATCGGAACAAACACTGCTCCCGTCACGAACCTTGGCGTTAATTCTAATTCAGTAAAGCTTAGTTTGCCTGGTTCTGATACTAGTGCCTGTTCTGGTCCTTTTCCTGGCGACGGAGGACCTCTTTGTTCTAATTCATCACTATTTTCTTCGTCATACAACGAATCATTCATGAATTCAGTAGTTAGGCCAACACATTTCCCCTCCATTGACAATTTATCAGACGTCTCAGAAGGCGCTATAATGGTTGGGTCTACATTACATATGAGTGAGTCTACAATGCTTGCTTTTTATTTTCTCTCTTAATCTTGATTAGATGATCTTATCTCGTTTGAGGTATTGACTGTGCATAATGTCATAGCTTACATATTTTCATTTATTATCCATATCGTAAAAGGGAATACAATAATGAAAATATTTGGTCAGAGACGTTTGTAATTTAAATCTCACCTTATGCTCCTTGCTCTTTGCTTTCACTCTATCTGCACTTGTTACAACTCTTATTTAATGGTTCTTGTTATCTCTTTCTCACATACCTGTCATATTGATATAGCTCAATTACACTACCATTTATCGAACCTTCTTATATTCATACATCTTTACCATATGGAGTTAAATTTACGTAATCACCTGTCCCATATCACAATGGCCTTTAACGTCAGGTCTTATCTTATCCAAGGCTCACTGGTAGTTTTGAAATCTATTCATAATTTATTTCTTTTATTTTAGCTACAATCACTACAGTTAGACTAACTTCCAAGTGCTATTTTTAGAAAATATCTTTGGTCTAAATTACAATATTTTGTTTCATCTTATCCCAAAGGAATGTTTGAACCCCAATGTACATCTTAATTCTGATCTAATCGTGCGCTTCTAGTGGTTACACTTTATCATTCTACAAAACCGTAAGTGCGAGTAAATCACATCAAATTTATAAGTGAATATAGAACAATTAATTTATAATGTGACTCAGTAATCTGGAAGCTAGTACTATTACCTGTTAGTAATGTATGAAGTTATCCACAAGCCTTTTTTTTGTTTTTATTTTCCTTTTTTACGCTTTCTACTAGGCTTTCATTATCACGCTAATCGTCAGGTTTTTAATAGAGTTGCATAATCATTACTGCTGCACTATTGCTTTCAGGTTTAATATGCAAAGAGAATACTGGTATGTATAATTTAATATATTTGATTTGAATCTATCGTTATAATTCAATTATTATCATTTTCTCGGTTTTTCTTAACTCATATGCCATCTATTCGTATCTGAAATAGAAATACTTTATCCGCTATCACCTCTTTTTACCATTCCTCTCTTAGGCCTTCTTTGTCCTAGAACTAGAGTTATTTTAAGTTGATATAGTTGATAAAAGATTTAATTGTTGAATCTCTCATGGCGCATTGAGTAAAATTCTTCATCATGCTACTGAACTTCTTTTGCCTTAGCCTTCAAAATAATTTTCTTATCCATGGCTTATTTCATTTCCATTCACGCCTGGGCTTTATATGTAGCTTAACAATATCATAAACCTTGTAAGGAGTTTCAAGCAGCAACACGCTATCATTCGGTCATACATTCCAACGGTCAATATTTCACATGGCTAGAAAACACCCGTTGTAAGAAACCCAGCAGTTAGTTTGAAACAGATTATAAAGGCTTTTTACTTCTATCTGTATATATTTACCTTTTTTTAAAACTATTGTCTTGCCTAGCATATTTTTATTTGTCCTGCTTTTATCTAATCCATCAAGAGCCATAATGACTTGCTTTTCCTTTCTAGCCATCATGGTGACATTGTAGGCGAACTGAGCTTATTAGAAAGCTCCATCTAGTAGGACACCTTCGTGGTCGACGCAATACGTGCCGTTACCTATTCTATA